TAGCAGCAGCAGCAGATCGATTGCTGCTGACGTCCAGGCTGTCTCTACAGGCTGAGCCACAATGGCCTCTTTTTATACATGCAAACAAACAAACAGCAGCAGCAGCAGCAGCTGCTGCAGCTGCAGCACCGCAGCAGCAACGACAACAGCTGCTGCTGCTGCTGCAGCAATTCAATCAAATACGAAACACACACTGGACAGGCAATGCAGCAATTCATGCAGCATCCACTCCTCTCCCTATCCACACCCTTCACACTCACAACACACCACTAACACAGGGGGGCCCCCAGGGGGACCCCCAAGGGGCCCCCCATGGGGCCCCCCAGGGGGCCCCCCATGCGGCCCCCCATGCGGCCCGCCAGGGGGGCCCCCGAGGGGCCCCCCAGGGGGGCCCCCCAGAGTACCCCCAGGGGGGCCTCCTGGGGGGCCCCAAAGGGGGCCCCCAAGAGGGCCCCCAAGGGGGCCCCCTGGGGGGCCCCCTTGGGCGTGAAGGAGATGTAAATGGTGATGATAAGGAGAAGGGTTTAGGAGAAGAGAAAGGGGAGAGTGTTAGGGTTTTGTTTGTGGACGCGCGGGAGGCGTTCCATAGAGAAAGGGTACAGAGGAGGCCCTGGCTGCAGGTGGTGGGGCCTGCAGGGTGTTTATGGTGAGTTTTGTTGTTTTTATTTTTTTTTTATTTTTTTTGTTTTCTTTTTTGTTGGGTTTGGTGTATTATTTCTTTCTTTTTTATTATTTCACTTTTTTTTTATTTTTCTTTTTTTCTCTTTCTTGTGGTTTTTCTCTTTCTTTTGTTTCTTTTCCTTTTTCTGTTTCACATCATTTTTTCTTTTTCTTTTTTTTTATTTTTTTTTCTTTTTCTTTTGGATGCTGCAGTAGTGTGCATGCATGTGTGTATGTGTGTATACAGTGAATGGGGGCCAGGAGCCCGAGTTAAAGACGCAGCTATCCTGGCTCACCAAATAGGAAAACGGTAAGCTCAGCCTCTACACGCACCCACACCAGGTGTACGTACACCTGAAACAGCTGCATGTACACCTGAAACAGCTGCATGTACACCTGAAACAGCTGCATGTACACCTGAAACAGCTGCATGTACACCTGAGAGAAGTGTGTGTACAGCTGAAAATCAAGTGTATGTACACCCGGTATTTAGCTGTATAAGGTGTTTATTGGAATTAACGGGTTAATAAATTCTTTGTGTTGCTCTCGCCTGATGCTGATGATATGCATTTAATTTTTTTTATATTTTGCTGCATGTATCAGCAGCAGAGTTGCATCGTTTGTGTATTTCATTTTATTTTATTTTATTTTATTTTGTTTTTTTGTTTTTTTTGTTTTTGGTTGCCGCACAGATTCGCCGACTTCCCTCGGGTGTCTGCTGAGCTTCCTTCGGATTATACTGCTCGCCTCAACGGCGGGTGGGCATTGCGGGGTTCTGCTGCTGCTGCTGCTGCTGCTCCTGCTCCTGCTGCTGCTGCCGCGGCTGCTGCTGATGCAGATGCTGCAGATGCTGCAGCTGCTGCTGCAGCTGCGAACTCCAAAAACTAAATCGTGCATGCAACCAACATAACTCCTTCTTTATGCTGCTGCAGCTGTACTGGCAGCAGCAAGAAGGAGGATAACAGCAGCAGCAGCTGCTGCAGCAGCTGCTGCAGCAGCAGCTGATGCAGCAGCAGCAGTGTGTCTGAATTTTAACTGTTTTTGGTTAAGAGGGAAATGGAAAGAGCAAATGAAACGACAAAAAAAAAAATAGAAAAAGGCAAATCCAGAGGAGAGAATAAAAACAGAAGTTTCGTTTGTTTTTTTATTTTATATAAAAAAAAGTTTAATGCAATAAAAAAATAAAGTTCTGCCCTTTCAGAGCACTGGAGTGTCAGGGTTTAGCTAGCTGAGCTGTATATACACCGCAGGTTTGTGTATGTATACACCACACAAACAACAGATGCCAGCAACTACAATTCTATTCATATCAAGACAACCGAAATATAGTAGCAACTTTATGTGAAGATAAACAAA